CACCACCACCATCACTTCCACCTGCATCATTGTGTCTTATTTTCTTCCTCTTGGATTGCCTTCAGAAGCATGTTAGATATTTGGTACATAAATATTGACATGTTTTTCAGATATTGTTCTTTCCTTTTATATATTTTTTCTAATTATTTATGCTACACTATTTGCCAAGTTCCTTTTGGTTTTAATTTACTTTTCTCTACTACGAAAAGGGAGATCTTGAATTTGGGTAACTTTTAAGCGATTCATTTTTAGTTTTTCTAATTCTGGAATCTGAGTCTTCTTTTACAATAGAGAGCTTTCAAATATATTTCCTTTTTTCTTTTCAAATTCTATCATACTTATTTATTCTTCTGTTTCTTTTTCAAGTTGTTGGTCTTGATTCAGTTTAGTTCCACAAATACATATTAATAATATACTGCACACCAACTATTTATTTAAGCATCAGTTATAAAAATGAAAAGGCTATTATTGTTGCTGCCCTCCTGCCAGTTAATACTGGTTCAGTTCTTTACAGTTAATAAAGTGGCCTCACCTATGTTTCTCAGTTAATAATCACATTAAATATGTATGACAGATAGGATTCATTTTATAGGACAGGAAACTAGAGCCCTAAATGAACTAATAATTCAACAAACCCTTCTATTCGTTGATGCTCTTTTTGAGAAATTGTGATGGTTTTAGGATGGGAAAGCCCATCTTCCTTCAAAACCAGAGGCTTTTGCATTTTCTTAGAGTGTCTTGTAGATTGCACTGGAATTAAATTTTCTACATTTCAGACATTTCTACATTTCAGACTTAAAGCAGAGGGGGATAATTTTGTTAATGATGCTGGAATAGAAAGAAGCCCCTGAGTTCTACTTTAATTCTTTGATATTGACCTCAAACTAAAATGACCTTTAACCAATAGAAGAAGCAAATTTGAAACTCCTTTTAAACTATGTGACTCATTTAAAAATATTTTTTATGTTTAAATCTGTGCTTTAAAAAAAAAATCTTTAATATCTAAAAAGTTGCTGAGCTTATGACAATGTTGGGTATAATCTTTTCTTAAAGAAAAAGGCATCAATCTTTTTAAGTTTCTTTTCCTTGATGTCTAATAAACTGAAAAATCATTTCACAAATTGCTTTTTTTTTTTTGTTATGGCCTTTCCCTTTCTCTGCACCCCATCCCCAGGATTTGAAGAATGCTAATTTTTACTTACCATTCCCAGATTTGTATTGCCCCAAAAGTAAAACTAATATAAACAAGCATAATTACCATAGACTTAAATGACAATTGTGGCATAAACTATAAATATTATGGCATTAAAAAACAATATGTTACGTAAGGAGGAACCAAAGAGAACATTCTAACTGCTGCTTTCCTCAAGCTGAGGAAACAATTTATTGATGTTTCAAAATAACTTTTTTCCCTCAAGAGTAGCGATGGGGTTCAGGACCAACTACTGCAAAGTATGACACCCTGGCACATTAAATACTGTAAGCTGAAGGGGTTTGAGAAAATGGCAGAAGCAGGAAGGTCACCTTCCCTCTGCCCTTCTCCCTGAAACACGCCATAAAACCCTCACGTGAGGAGTGCCTTATAACCAGAAGAAAGGAGCACCCTTGTCTCTGAAGACAAAGGGACTCAAAGAAGAATCCAAACAAACAAGCACTGCTAAGTATCCCCCAGTTTACTACACTTACTTCATACTCCTTAACTTATCCTAGTCTTCCACGACCCCATTCTTCCTCAATCCTAGCATGAAAATACTCAGATCTGTTTCTTTGGATCTTCATTTCCTTATGAAGCCTCCCATGTCATGTAAAACTTATTAAAAACTATTAAATAAATCTGTATGCTTTTTTCCTATTAATCTCTTTGTCAGTTTAACTTTCAGAACAAGCCAGAAACCTTTTTCCTCCCCTACAGTAGCAAAGGTAGAACATGGCTTTATATGAATCAAAACAACGGGATGAAAAAACTTAAAAAAAAAAAAAAAGCTCATAGATGGTTGACCATCTCTTGCAGGAGAATATCTTCTCTTCTTTATTTTTTAAAGAGACTGGCATTTGTCCAGGCACTGCAGTAGATGGGCGGGTTACATGACATTTCCCTGCAGCATAAATTCTACGGATGTGTTTCTGTAATCATACTAATTACATTACCAGATGTTCTCATCATTCTTCTCTTGCCTTAATGGGACATAGATTTCCTATTTTGAAATTGTCACTTATTTGTTATATTTGTCAAGTGTTTTAAATACTATATGGGCTCCTTTATTTGCTTTTGAAAACAGTAGTCTAAAAATTAAACTTGACATGAAGGCCAGTGATGACTAAGATAGGAATTATAATATTAATTATACTTCTACTAACCATACCGTGCTACTGCAATTATCCTGGACTTTCATAGGATACCAGGCCTGAGCTACCTATTTTCTCTGTCATTATAAATAGAGTTTTCATAGGAAGCAGTTCACTGGAACAAGTTATTTCTTTGGGAACCGACTGATAGCTAAATGAGATTTTTAAAATAATAATTCTTAGAGTATGGGCAGAGAAGTATTAAAAATTAGACACTGTCATCATAAGCTACCAAAAGCTGTATTGGTATAAAATAATCTAATGCAATATTTTGGGGAAAATATAATCCAAAATCAATAAATTTTGATTTAAAGCATAACTAAATTTGTATGCCTTTTTCCTATTAATGTATTAATTTTTATAAACCTTTTTCTTTCATTGTGTAATTTGGAGTTAAAATATTTTTCTGTTGAGGAATATATATATACATATATATGAAAATGTGTGCAGAATTTAAACATGTGTGCATGCATGTATATGTACACATATGTGTAGACAAAAATACATGTGTACAAATGCATATATATAATGTAACTGCGCTGAAATAAGAAGGGAAACTTTCTTTAAAGAGAAAAAAATGTAACCCACTTGCTATTAAAGTAAGCACAGACTTAAAACCCTATGAAATAAATACTTCCCTCTGTTATCACTTCCATATTATCTCTGTTAAGGAAAGGCTAGGTGAGAATGGAGGAAGACGTGCAGAAGAAAGTAGATGAAAGGAAGAAAGTGAGGACCTCCCACAGAAGGTGAAGAGCAGACTGTAGCCAGGCGGGAGGTGGAAAGAGAAAGGAGCCTGAGAGATGGGGAGCCTGAGGGAGAGGCAAGGCCTGCTCCCGCCCCCTCCCTGGCCTGGCCACACATCTCGCTTTAGTAGGTTCCTGCCCAGGCTGCCAAGTCATCTCCATCTGAATGCGGCTTTTGTGCGCCCGGCTCTTTCTAGCAGCCCCTTTTCTCCGTGGTGGGTTTAAAGATTCTGGTTTCAGTGTTGACCCACTTGGCTTGTAGATTGCATCTGATTTACCACATTTAGTGGACGCGTCTGTTTATGGGCAATTTCCTCATTATGAAAGGTCCTCTCCTTTTTTTTGTTTCCTCCAAAGAAAGACCTTTTTGTTTTGCTAATGAAGGTTCTGTGAAACTGGTGGAGTTTGCGGGGATGTGTGCCTGTAGTTTAACTTTTGAGAAACTGCTATTGTTGCTTCTAAGTGCACCTGGATGTCTAATAATGTGTTTTATTTAGCAAGCCATCCTGGAAGTCTAAAGGTTATTCTTATTTTATCTTTAAGCTGGTATTTTTCTTCTTAATATTTGCCTTAAACAATTTCCCCTAGAATTGAACGTCTGCATGACATATATCGACATATATATATCAATAGAGGTATCTGTCTATAAATAAATACACTAACATATCAAGCTCTATCTGAATCTACTCTATCTCCACCTCTATCTCTACCTCTCTAGCATGTATGTAATTCTGCCTTTCCTCTCCTCCAGCAAGGACATAAATCGTGCAGTTGATGATAATATGCTCTATACTATAGAATGGCTAGCCTACTCCTTACATGGAGAAATCTCCCCATCCTGTGGTCTTTTAGGATATTGCTACTGAAGTGAAAGCCATGCTATGATCTTGCAACTATAATCATGAATTAATTTTATAAGAAGAGGATGATTCTTTTAAAGGAGAATCTTGGTAGATTCCTATTTTTACAGCTCATACTATTTCAGTTTAGAAAAAACTGTGTCAGTCATTATTCTCAGCATCTTACATGGGCCATTTCATCATTCCAGTAATTCTGTAAAATAGGGACGCTTACATCTCCATTTCATAGAGGAGAAAACTGAGGCTTGTCCAAGATCACAGAGACCATGACGAAGTTTGAAATTGAATTGAGGGTCAAATTCAGTCCTTGGATAAGGTATTTCTTGTCTCAGGTCTTGCACATAAAATTCAACAAACAAAATGTCATCTGGATTAATATAATTACATTAATTTCTGTTAATTGAGAACCAACAGTGTGTCACATACTGTCCAGATTCCTTAAATATTCCTCAGTATTATTTCGCTAATCTATCAAAGTCTTCATGGTGAGAGGTTAGGAAACATTAAGGCCAACAGCTACCAACCACCAAAAACATTCTGTGACTTGAGGTCATTCCTATTCCAAAGCTTGTATGGTTCCCATTATTAATCACCGAGGCTATAAGAAATCACCTAGGAAATGTGAGCTTTTCTCCTTAGCATATTTGGTAAGATTAGCTACAATTAATATACCTCTGCACCAGCAGACCCATCTCCCCAAGGGTAGACAAGAGACAGATGGAGAGATCTTAATGTTTCTCTCATAGAATTCAGGTTTGCTTTTAGCAGCTATTAAGTATTAAGAATTAATGCACTCCCCATGTGTCTGCTCTGAGAAAAAACACAAATGGCTTTTTGGAATTACTTAGATCTAAAGTGCTTGAAAAGTGAGTCTCATTTTGATTGAATTAACTAGAGATGTTATCTGAAAAGAATTATCTCAATCATATATCAAACACTTAAACAAATATAAACTTTTCCTGCCTGCCCTCATTCATTGATTCATATTTACTTATTCTGTAAGTATTTCCTGAACACTTACCATGTGTAAGGCACAGTGCTTCCTTACCTTATAATCTGGCAGCAAGTGAATGCCATGGCGAGCGAGCTACAGTATTGGAGCAAGGAGGGGAAAAGCTCAGTGCGCGTCTAGAGGAGGGTCTGAGGCTCCTGCCCAGAGAAACGCGAAGAGGCTTTCTGGGAGAGCTAGCAAATGTGCTGACCCCCTGAGGCCGGGGGGGGGGGGGGTGGGGGCGCGGGGCGGGGAGAGTGTGAAAGGTAAAAATGGCAAAGACCCTTGCAGAGGAGGAGTCCCGTGCGAGGGCAGAGGGGAAATCAGGAACAGGGACTGGCGAAGTGCATGCAAGCTGTGGCCCAGACAGGCTGGCGTTAGACTGCGGGGCTCTGAGTGCGACGGCCAGGAGTGTAAGGTCACTTGTAAGCCAATGGTCCTCAGAGCGAGAGCTCCCAGTCCAGCAGCAGCGGCATCACGCCGGGCCCCACCTCGCACCTGGCGAGCCCGCCCCCTGGGGCGGGGCCTGAGCAACCTGGAGTTCAGCAGCCCCTCCAGGTGAGGCGGACGCAGCCCAGGCCTGGGAACCGGAGCGCGGCGAGCCCCGCGGGACTGCTGTGTGTGCTGTGCCCGGAAGCACTGCTGGCGGAGTCCTCAGCGGGCCGCCAGGCCCCGCGGAAGCGGCGGCCCCCGGGGGTGACCGCCGCGGCGCCAGCAGCCTCACTCTCCTTCCCCGGGTCCCGCGCTCCTTGGATGGGAAAAAGCAGCACTGGGGCAAGCCCGGCAGAGGCCCGAGCGCCAAACCTGCCCGCGGGACACCCCTGACCCCACAAGCGGAGAAGGCCTTGTCCATTTTTAAAGGGTTACAAAGGAAGAAACGGAAGAGGAAGAAGAAGAAGAAAATGATGAGGAAGGAAGAGGAGGAGGAAAGGGGGCACCAGGAGGAGAAACACCGCGATGAAGTGTGGCCTGCCCAGCTGGTGTTTGCTGCCCGATCCTCTACAGAAAACGCTTGCTGACCCCGGTGCAGACGAGCAGAAACAAGGTTCTCGGTAACTGAAGAACTCACAGAGTCCGTCCCGATCGGCAATCTCCCGGGGTTTGTTTTGGAGTCGTTTGGAGAGCAGTACCATGGTGAAAGCATGAACTCTGGAGCCTCTTGTCTAGTGTGGAGAAAAACAACCCATGTTTGAATGCTTAGTGGGTGTTTAGATGTATCTCCCTAATGTTTAGTTATTGTCTCAAACAGTGCTAGGCACCGGAATCACCCAGTTATCTTCTTAAATGCCAATTCCAGTTTAGTAGGTCTGGATGGGGCTTGAGAGTGTTCACTTCTAAGAAGTTTCCGGCGGGGGGAAGCACACTCTAAGTAGCAAAGGTCTAGGCTGAACCCCAGTAGGTTATTTGAAAAAACACATTTTTAAAGTCACATAGGAGGCATGCAAAATAATTCTTCCTTCCACAGAAATCAAAGGCGGCTTTTCTGCTGTAAAACATCCAACGGTTCACCAGAGTGCACCGGCCCTTGCTGGTGGTCACTGGCAATTCTGTCAGGATATGGAATGAAGGGGAGAAAAGGAAGGTAATGAATATGGTGGGTGGAGAAGACATGACAGATCCTCCCACAGTGACCAGAAGTAGTCTAGCCTCATGGTTTGGGGACTCACATTCTCTTAGACTTCAAATCCAGGCTCCCCCACTGATCAGCTGTGTGACCTTACACAAATTAATTCACCCTCTGCCATGACTCCTCATCCATAGATGGAGATAAAATTCCTCAGAGAGTACTCATAGGGAGTAAGAGGCAATATCAGAAAATACTGTTAATGCCATAGTGAGACCGTACTAAACTATAAGGAACACTAAGTAATGGTATCTTTAATTATTGGAGATAAAAAATATATCAGCCTGAGATGCAAAGGAAGCTCTCTAAACACCACAAATCTTAAGCAAACAACCTAAACATTTATTAATGTTACTAAAGGACAAATGGCCCCAAATAGAGCTTTAAATATACCTATTGGTTCATAAGGATTTGTATCTTAAATATTTGGGATTCCTTCCAAAGAAATCACATGTGTGTAATGGGGGACATTAGTAGGTGTTTGTTTTTTGACTCTAAAATACATATTGTCTTTGTTGTTTAAGGGTTGTATTAGATGGTGGATAGGCTTTGTAATATTTAGAAAAGCAATTAGAAGGCAGAAGGCTTATAGCTTCCAAAGGAAATATGTATTTTATGTCTAATTGTATTTCAGAATTAAAATATGGCCTTTGAAATCTTTTTGCTATTAAGTGGAAATTTATCATAGAATCACACTCGAAGTAAAAAGTTCAGTTAAATGTCATGTATCTGATGAGTACATACATTTTTATATTTTAACGGAGTGCTTTGGCACCGCGGAAGCAGTCTGAGAGGTGTCACGTACCGTGCCAATTATTCTTAATTGAAACTCTCTAGGTCTTCACCTTGATTTGATGCCCTTTGCTTCTTTATTATTCTCAGCTGTTACCTTATTCACCTTGTTCTTCACAAAGCTTTCCTTTCCACGGTGCTTCTGCTCCATGCTACGTGGATGTAGTAGAAAGAAGAAGGGGTCTTTGGTGCCAGAGAGACCTAGAAGCAAATCCAGGCTGGAGTTTGCCACCTGAGACCTGACCTTATGCGCTTTCTCCGAGATTTGGTTTCTTTGCTCATATTGATAACCCACTTTGCTGGATTATTGAGGATTAGAGATAATATGTGTTAAGTGTTTTCACAGAGGCTGTCCATAGAAAATAGGCAACGAGTATGAGCTTCATTATGATTTGTAAAGGAGGTATCAACTCATGTGCAATCCACTCTAAGAAGTCTTCCTAGAAGCCTGGAAGATGGAAGCGATTTTTACCTTTCTTAATACCCAGAGCTGCATTTTACTCGCACCGGGTTACTTTTATATGTGGCATTTTGGTTATTTATGTGTATGAATATCTGCACTATAAGAGATGAAATTTATAGAGCTAAGATTCGGGTTTCCACATTCCTCTCTGCAACATGCATTTAGCCAGGAGCTTGCGAATAACAGCCGCAATAATAAATGTTCAATGAATAGTTTTTTAATAGAGCAAAAACCATTTTCTGACAGAACTCATATCAAAACTGATATCTACCTGATTTTCCCTGATTCCCCCAACTCTTCAATGCCCCACAAAATTGAATTATATCAGACACCAAATGTTTCACAATATTTTCCCTCAAGTATGATTTATTGAACAATCATATGTAATAGGAAATACAGAGAATTACAGCAGAGTAAAAACACAAGAATTGTAGCTTGTCATGTTAAAAATGAAATAAAAGAGCTACTGGTTAAATAAAAAGGCATATGAGATTGTTAGATATATGTTGTGTAGCTGAGAATAAAAATGCAAAGCCGGACATGGGAGACAGAACTGCCGACTCACCCACCCTGGCTTCAGGGCGGACTCGGGCTACACTGGTGTGTGTGGAAGGGATGGGCACTGGGGACCTCCGCGCTGACTCCCGCCAGTTGGCACTAATTCGTCGCTGTCTTAGGGAGAGAGAAGGCAAGAAAGAAGGGAGATGAGAAGGAGAGAAGTAGAGAGGGGAGGGGGAGGAGGGAAAGGAAGGGAGATGAGGAAGAGAAAAAGCGCATCAACAGCGTGACAATTCTTCGGAAGAAGTGGTGCGTGTTTTCTCCACTCCCTCCAGAAATTCAGTCACGGTGCTTTATAAGTTAAATAACCTGGAAAATTAGGGGAGAGGCCATATACAGAAACTGATGAATCCATTATATTTCTCTCTCTCTCTCTTTTATTTTTTTTAGTAACAAAGTCTATAGGTCCTAAAGTATCAATAGGAACAAAGCGGACAAGTTTCCTATGACCCTTGAGAAGCAGTCTCAATTTACTTCCTTCTCCCTGGAGAGATTCTCTAGCTCTACTGAAAGACAACTGGCTCAAATAAGAACAAAAGTAATTACACTTCCCAGATAGTCAGATTCTATTTTAAATGCAGAATATTTAGCTGGTAAATAGCTATTTTTAAAAAGACATTGAAAGCAGTAGTTATAATTTCTTCATAAATAGAAATAAAAAGTCCATTGTTAAAAGACAAAAAGTCACCATGATGTACATATCTATAAATCTCCCCCAACACGCCATCATAGATCAATTTGTACTGCTTACGTTTAAAATACCAATTGCATTATAATGTCTATGATACAAATCAATTCTTTAGCTGAGTTCTACACAAGATTCAGGTGAACCAAAAACTAAGGACCTTATTCACAGAACATTTAAAAGCATTTTATACACAGTCTATGCACAAATATATCTTAAATTAGAACAATGCATACCTAATATGCATATAGAATATGGCTTACACATTAAAGGAGATCTAAGTTGTGGGTTCTAAAATCCCACCACTCAGACTTAAAAGCTTCTGATTTCATCAATTTTTAAAATATTGCTTAGCATTGTGGAACCCAAGAAAAAAGCAGGTGCAACAGAAAACTGATAGTATGGATGGATCCTCCTTCACTTTGTTCTTTAATTGATGGCTACTTTTGATTTTTTCCATCCCGTTTCTACCTTTCACAAAGATAGATTCATCTCAGAATCACTGAAGTGTTTGCACAGTGAAAAGTTACAGCCCCTAATTGTGCTTGACCTTTCTTGTCAGCTAATAACTAACAAAAGCTGTTCTTCAGTTTGGAGCAAAGGAAAGGCTCTGCACATGCTCAGGCAAAACATGACAAGCAAGCTGAGTTTCCAAGAGTTGCAGTCTGTTTCTGTGTAGTAAAATTAAAAAGTCAAGCCAAATAATATTATCTGTACAGAAAAGTGTGGGTTTCCATTTTCATAGATATTTTTCAATACACACACACACACACACACACTTCTTGTCACTGATCCTGGGCCTGTAATATATTTTGTTATGTCCTAGTGGGATCAACACCCCAGAAGGCAAATTCCATTCTCAGTTCTAACACCTGTCTCCAACAATGGCTGAAGGTTCTTGTCATCCTGGAGTGTAGGTGATATGTGATTTGCATTGTGATGATCCCCATATGGGTGACGTTTCGCGCTTTGGAACCACAGGGTGGTCCGCTGGTTTCAGGGATGGGTTTCACTGTGGTTTCCCAGCTTGAGAGTTACAATGGTCATCAGGTCGCAGAGCCAGGCTAAAGCTCCACTGTTGTCACAGGACTTCAACGACAGCTTCTGAACAGCCTGACCTCTCATGTTGCTTCCGTGTATTTAAAATAAGGACAATCTAAACAGCCTGTTCTTCAGAGCTGCAAAAAAATTGTTTTCCATATTTTTGCTTTGCTTTCCTTTTACTTAAAACCTTGCAATATTGGTAACTATAGAAGTCCGCATAAAACAATACAAGAAAGAAAATTTTTTAAATGCCTCATCTTTTGCCCATGTGTCGCAAGGTCACCCATGCTATAACTGGGTTCAGAGTGTTGAAAATTTTAAACTATCCACCTTTTGTCTTAAAAATTTCTCAGACTTGCTTGAAAAAGCTGGATCAAAACAATCAAAACATTTCCTCCAAGACTGTTTTTTGGAGGAAAGACAATGGCAGAAATACTGGCCAAAAACTCTGATGGCAATTTTGAATGTATTTGTTTGGCCGGAGGTACTAGCTCAGAATTTATGTTCTTCTCAGTATAAGTTCCTTCTAGGAGTCCATTAAAATGGCCTGATCCAGGTGTGTGCTGAAAAAGGAGAACATAACGTTGTGGAAAGTTGAGGATTTAGGATGTTTTAGTCCTGTTGTCATTATCCTGAAATAAAATCCAAATGAAAATGAAGGTCAAGTTTTAGTCATATACATGCATCAATTACTGTGTG